GAACTGAAATTTTAGTTTTTTCTTTTCTGTGCAATCCTCTAATCCTATGATTATGTATATAAATTAGGGATGCACGATATATCGGCCACCATATCGGTATCAGCAGATATCGTTTCATTTTTAATGTTATCGTTATCGGCCCCATAAGAAAATTTGTCTAATATATTAAAGCCGATAAATAATGGATTATTATCTTCAGCTGATACGCTTCAGATGTGCACTGTTTAACATGATGGTTTTGAATTGCTTGAAATATGATTGGAATCACTTCAAAAAGGAGAATACAGTAAAGTGAAACAAGTCTGTCATATCGGCTACATAAAATTATAATGAGAACATTATAATTGTGTGTTTGGGACATGGCTTTTACAGGTGAGACTTTTGTTTTTGTAATCAGGCTCTCATAAATTTTATGAAACTTTGAATTTAGATTTATCGGCCAATATATCGGTTATCAGCTTTCAAATATAAAGAAATGTTCATATCGTTCAGCATCCCAAATATATATATATAAACCCATTACTTAGATTAAATTTAATTCATAATAATTTACTTATTTCAAGACAGGAAAATATCAAAATACTAACCCTTGCAAAACATCAGTCAAAAGAATTCACCTATGACTGGAGGAGTTTTCCCTCTTTCCCGTTTTCGTCTGGCAAGATTGCAGTAGATTACATTCTTTCTCATTTTTATCTCTTTCTGTCTCCCGTTTCAAATTCATGACTGGGCGTTCATTCTGTTAATCTTGCGAACCCTCGCCTCCTGGCACCAGTTCTGCTTAAGCTGGCAAGGACGTCAAGAATGAATTACAGTCAGCCTTCTGGCGCACAGGAACCTTGGGATGTAGAATGAGGGATTTTGCTCTTATATGGAATATGACACTGCACTAATTGCCCCTCACAGTCCTCTATATGCCATTATCATATGCATAGACAAGCTCAAATGAATTCTCAGTAGCTACTTTAGTTGACACAAAAACTGCAACTGTGTTTGTATCAGCTTAGATGAAATTTGACTCGTGACTGTTTTTCCCAGGTGGGGTTATTGTGCGTCAAACAAAAGTCACGTGTTGTTTGAAAGCACGTGTGGTTGAAAACGACAACAAGAGGTAGAAACCTCAGCTTTAAAATGAATGATGTACATAGTGAATGAGAACAAGACTAATCAATTCAGGTTTTATGTAACAAAATGAGTGGAAGGCAGAAGGATCAGTTCTCTAGCGCTTTGAGAAGCACATTTGAAGCGCTTCTGCATCAAATGCAGGGGGCAACACATAGGAAATTTTCTTTTAAAATAATGATTGTAATTTTGACACTATTATTCTTTTCCAAAGTTTGAGGGATGTAGTTTCGCATAGCGAGACTTTTGACTATCAACATGGTAAATTGTGCAGCTTATTCTGGCACAAAGACATCCAAATAGAAAGGAATAGCCCATCTGATTAACAGTTTTGACAAACGCAAAGGTTATAAGCGGAACAGAATGTTTTGTAAAAAATGTTAAATTGTAAACTACTCATGCCTTCATAAAAATACAAAACTTATACCGCAAATTTTGAACGACTCAACCAATGCAATGTTCAACGCAGCATTTAAAAGATACAATGCGAGAAGAAGGAGAGTGTTGCGGTATGAAACTACAACGATTAACTTTAAAAACAAAGCGGAACTGTGCTTAAAGGAACACTCCGACTTTTTGGGACTTTAGCCTATTCACCTTATCCCCCACAGTTAGATAAGTCCATCCTTACCTTTTTCATCTCCGTGCGTGCTGTAACTCTATCTGACGCACCCACCGCTAGCCTAGCTTAGCACAAAGACTGGATGTAAATGGTTGCAGCTAGCATACTAATCCAAATAAGTGACAAAATAGCGCAAACATTTTCCTATTTACATGTTGTGATTCGTATAGTCACAGAGTGTACAAAAAACGAAGTCACATGAGACACAGACATATTTTAACCGTATAAATACTGGGAACTATATTCTCTGAAGGCAAAGCACTGCTACTTGGGCGGAGTGATAACCGCAGCACCTGAGACGCGCTCTCTGCTCCTCACCACGGCGCGTCTCAGGTGCTGCGGTTATCACTCCGCCCAAATAGCAGTCTTTCGCCTTCAGAAATATATAGTCGCCTTCAGAGAATATAGTTCCCAGTATTTATACGGTTAAAATATGTCTGTGTTTCATGTGACTTTGTTTTTTGTACACTCTGTGACTATACAAATCACAACATGTAAATAGAAACATGTTTGCGTTATTTTGTCACTTATTTGGATTAGTATGCTAGCTGCAACCATTTACATCCAGTCTTTGTGCTAAGCTAGGCTAGCGGTGGGTGCGTCAAACAGACTTATAGCACGCACGGGGATGAAAAAGGTATGTATGGACTTTTCTAACTCTGGGGGATAAGGTGAATAGGCTAAAGTCCCAAAAAGTCGGAGTGTTCCTTTAAGTTTGCCAATTATTTCAAGTGCCCCAAAGAAAACTCTTTTAAATATGCCACTTGCAATCTTCCCGAAGTGCTTGTTGTATCAGCTAGAAATATAACAACGATCTATTGTTCATAATTTTTCACACGGCATCTTAAAGTGTCAAAACTCATGCGCAAAACACGAGTTGAATGACTAATTGACCATCACAGTAGTAGCCTGTTACGTACCTTTGTAAACAAGACAAGATAAAGTGGTCAAAAACCTGTGCACCCAAACTCTGGGAAACTGCGAAACGCCAGCCACTGTTGTGTTCAGCATGCATGACGCATGAGGCAGTCCATGAACGATCCATGGTTGTGTCGTCCCTGAAACTAAAGCATGACATGAATTCATGTTGTTCAAAGTATGATGGGTTAGCACATATCCAATCAACTGATACAGTGAACACTTAAGCCACCAATGTCTCATGGCCCTCCGTCAATCAATACTTGGGTGACATTCAACTTCTCCTCACCTTTTTCACAGTAGATCGTTCAGCACTTTTGCGACCTACTCAAAACCCTTACTCAGGCTCTGCTGAACATTTGTAGAGACATGCAGATTGTCTGGAACCAAATCGGTGTCCTGCAGCACTTAGATGCATTGTTACCTTTTGTATGTCTCATTCGCAGTTGCCAGACATCAGCAAGAAGCTAAAAGAAGACTTGATGAATGGCCCCTTTCACTTCTGCCTCTGGACCCTAAACAGAATTGCACTGGATCTCCTGTATAAGCAGTTTAAAGTTGGACTGCGTAGTGTGGCTGAATCGCTGCCGAGCACTGCTGCAGATGTTTGTGTGAGAGCGTACACACTTGTGTGTGTTTGACAGCGATACTGGGTGCCGAGTCAGGTCCCCTGAGCTGATGGGGGAGGACGGAGCCCGAGATGTATGTGATGTGAATTGTGTGTGTTTCTATGCAAGTTAAAGTGTGTGCAAATGTGTGTGCTTATGTGTTTGACAGCGATGCCAATTCAGGCCCCCTGAGCTGATATGATGGAAAGAGGCTGAAACATATGATATGTGATGTGTGCATTATACAAACTTGTCTATGTGTGTGTGTGTGGTGGGGTTCTGCACATTAAAAGATGTGGCAATGTTCAGAATAGAATACTAGAATAGAATACTAGTTGTAGACAGACAGTCAATAAAAAACAAAAACAAACAGCAGCCACCTTTTACAGTTCCTCCTGAACCAAAACACCGAGCTTATGCAGCATTTACGCCATGTTGTAACCGTAATTACGAGATGACATCCCGTGACATTCTACTTACTTCAGACTCGGATTTATGCTCTTCTGTCAACACTATCAACGGCAAAATGAATCTGCAGCAGTCAGGTGGTACAAGAGCTCTGTACGTTGTTTACGTTCATTATTATTGTAACGTTATGTGCTTTGAGACATGAGGTGACACTTTGCAGACTCTGATGTGTGTGTTCATGTGTTTTGAAGGAGGTGTGGCTTTGTAGACGCTCTGAAGGGAGGGTGGGATCTCATGCTTTCAAAGCTAGCTCGCTTTTACTAGCCTCTCTGGAATTGCCTACCCTACCTTTATCCAGCTATCATAATTTTTTAATTTGGGGTAAGATATTTTTAAAGAAATAAATACTTTTATTTAGCAAGAATGCATAAAAATGATCAAAAGTTATATAAGATGTAACATCTATGTTTTAAAAATAAAATGCTTTCAATTTTTTTTAAATTCATACCTTTTTTTTTTTTCTATTCATCAAACAATGCAGAAAAAACGTATCAGTGTATCAGGGTTCCCATTAAAAAAATTAAGCTGTTTTCAACAGTGATAAGAAATGTTTCTTGAGCAGAAAATCAGCATATTAGATTTCTGAATTTCTGATTTCTGAAGGATCATGTGACACTGAAGATTGGAGGAATAATGCTAAAAATTCAGCTTTTCCATCACTGAAAAAAAAAAAACCTTTTATTATATATTAAAATAGAACACCGTCATTTTAAATTGTAATAATATTTCATAAATGTATTGTCATTTTTATCAAGCCTCTGTGAGCATTTTGTTCACAAACATTTTTAAAAAATCTTACTGACCCCAAACATTTGAACAGTAGTGTGTAAAAATGGCTTTTGGCAATCAAACGAGTCAAGATAGAGAAAGAAATGGATATTAACTCCTTTTTTATCCATCACACTGGAAATTAAAAGTAAAGTCAAAGCATTGTGAAATACATTCAATGATTGATGTTCCATTCAAAGCTTGATGGGATAATCGTACTTAATGTTACCTCAACAAGTATCATGTAATGGAGGAATTTTAACTCATTAACATAATTGATTTGCTTTAAAGTCAATGTTTACCATTAACAGTTTCAGAGTTGTAATTTCAATGTTGAGTGCTGTTCCTTTCCACTTTTTTTAAGAATAAACTTGAAAATTTCAAAATTCCAAGTTGTCTTTCCAAGTATCCTATGCACAACGGCATTCATGCATATGTCCATATGCAGTACAATAATAGTATTAGTACTGTACTTTGCTGGTGTCTGTGTAACTGCGTGCTATACGTCTATGTAACTTACGAGTGCGAGTGAGTAATTGTGAGTCTGCGAGTGCGTGTATGTGTGTGCGTGCTCTCGCGCCCTGGAGATGTTGCTCTGTTTGCTTACTCTGCAGCAGCACAAGACCCGGCGTCCTTTACTCAGCGCTGTTTGCCCCGCAGAGCTCTTGCCGGCTCCAGCACTGTGGGGTCCTCCTCTGACACCCCAACACTTCGGCACCCCGCCCGAGTACAGCAAACAGAATGCTAGAGAGACGCACACAGAAAGGAGAACCTGGTCTAAGGTTTAAAGCCAAGCCAGATGCGAAAGGTAAGGTGTGTGCGTGTGTGAGTGCGTGCGTCTCCCTGATGGCTACCGTGGGTCTCAAGTTACTCAGGAGGCATAAGATTACTAAAAGAGAGAGAGCTTAAACAGAACACAAGGGTGTGCAGAAATCTGGTTGCAATGCAGGCTGAGAAGAGGAGCCAGGCTAGAGAGGGACAGAGGCAAAAAGAGGAGCCCCACTCATCCTGGATCAGAGTGCGCACAGAAGGACCGTCCTACCCCAGAGGTTCTCCCTGGTGGGTATTTCCGTGTTTGTTTTTATAGATTGGCTTAAGCATGTGATTTATGTCCTTTGGATGCTGTTATAGAAAGGATATGGACTTTCAATCAAATTTTGATCGAAAAGAATTCAACGGATGTGAATAGAGCCGTTACAGAAGTTTAGAGAGATGAAATAAGATGCTGATCTTGTGTTCTCTCCGTCAAGCCACATTCATTTATACAGTATGTGCTGTGATCGAGTTTTGTGAATTGAGGAGTGAGATAATGATTAGAATTAGAAATAGTTTGTTGTTTGGTTGGATGTTGGATTTGAGCAAGAAGATGAGGGAGGTTTGGAATGATAATTTTAATAGGAAGTTTACGACTCAAATGTTTATATGTAAATTGAAATATCTGTGTTAGTAAATCTTTGAATTATGTGGTTCATTATAACCACTATATACTCAATCTCAGTTGAAATCAAATACTTTAAAGGGATAATGTCCCTTTATCAGATAGATAATACCTGATCAATATCAGTACAGGTCTAATATATATATATATATATATATATAAATTCTCAACCTATCGGGAGAGTTCATCCAAAAAAACAAAAACAATGATGTCATCATTTACTCATCCTCATGTCTTTCCAAGCTGTATGACTTGCTTTCTTCTGTGGAACAGAAAATACGATATTTTGAGAAATGTCGGTTTTGTTTTTGTCCATACCATGGAAGGCAATGGTCACCAAAACATTCTTTAAAATAATTTCGGTAACACTTTACAATAAGGTTGACAATAAGGTTAACATTAGTTAACTACATTAGTTAACATGAACTAACAATGAACATCACTTTTACAGCATTTATTAATCTGTTAATTTCCACATTTACTAATACATAATTAAAATCAAAAGTTGTATTTGTTAAAATTAGTTAATGCACTGTGAAGTATCATGAACAAACAATGAACAGCTGTATTTTTATTAAGTAACAAAGATTAACAAATACTGTAACAAATGTATTGCTCATGGTTAGTTCATGTTAATTAATACATTAACAAATGAAGCCTTATTGTAAAGTGTTACCATAAAGGAAGAAAATTCGACAGCTTGGAACGGCATGAGGGTGAGTAAACGATGACAGGTTAACTATCCTTTTAAGTTGAAAATGTATGTTAGAGCTTCTGTGCTGCTACGAATTAGGTAATATCTGTCCAACTTGAGAACGAAGACAGCTATAGAATATTGTCTAATTATATTTCTGTGACTCGAGCCAGGGATTTGTGATGATTCAGATATATGACGCCGTATTTTCACAGAATTATGCATAAAATATAGCACATACAGTACAATACTTGTATAATGCACATGGTAGTGACCAGCCCCAGAGGTGCTTAGAAACAAAACAATGGGTTTGTACCTGTGATGCATGCGGGGAAACTTTCCCACACGTTGGTGATCAATCTTCTAGACACACACGAGCACACACACATGCACAGTTGAAGGATATAGATGTCATCTCTGTCCGTGGTGCATTTTCACATCTTCAGCATTTTCCCCGGACTAGGCACTGCAGGATAAGGACGGAAGCTTCTGTCAGTTGTAACCTTTGTCCAACCTGCTCTCGCTATACAACTATACCGTTATATATGTGAATCTCTAAAATGAACTGTAAACCCTGCAGTTGTGCTGATATCATAGTGTGTGTGTGTGTGTGTATATTTATCAGTCAAGTCTCACTGAATTCCTTATTGCCATTGAACAGGTAATGAGATTAGTTTCCTTTGCTTTCACAAGATCATTGCAGTTACAGTTGAATAATGTAGGAAATAAATAAATATAAAGTAGTACAATAAATAATAAATAAACAAAAGGTGCAGAGTGCATGGGATATGGTTAACAGTGACAGCGCAAAATATTACGATTGTGTAACGTAAATCTGTTTGAGAAGAATACTAAGAAAATAACAGTACAGACCATTCAAGATGCAAAATGAGCAAAAAGCAAAGTTTCTTGAATAGAATGTGTGTAAAGGGATAGTTTAAAAATAGAAATTCTGTGATCATTTAATCACCCTCAAGTTGGTCCAAACTCTTTTTTTTTATTTCTTCTATGGAACACAGAAGAATATACGGTAACACTTTACAATAAGGTTCATAAGTTAACATTAGTTAACATGAACTAAGAATGAACAATACTTCTTCAGCAGTTAATATTAATTTCAACATTTTAGTAATACGTTATTAAAATCAAAGGATGTATTTGTTAGCATTAGTTAATGCACTGTGAACTAACATGAACAAACAATGAACAGCTGTATTTGTATTAACTTACAATAACAAAGATTAATGAACACTGTAACAATTATATTGCTCATTGTTAGTTCATGTTAGTTAATATACTAATGTTAACTAATGAACCTTATTGTAAAGTGTTACCTAATATATTTTGAAAAATGTTGGAATAGTATGTAAACAATATTGAACCCCAATGACTTTCATTGTATAGACAAAAAATCTTCCATTGTGTTCTTCTGCATAAGGATGAAATGTATAAAGGTTTGAGGGAAAAAATGAGAATGAGTAAATAATTTTTGCATGAACTATCCCTTTAAGGTAGATACAGATACTCTACAGAGTCATATGTATTTGGCCACTATAGCTGAGAATATAACTATAACGATTTAAGCAGTATGATGCGGTTATTCATCCTTAGGAAACGTTTGAAACTTTTCATGCAAAACTAAACACTGCAACACATGAGAACTGCAGTTCCCATATAAACTAAATGCCAATGCCAATGCACTAAAAAATGTGGCCACATGAAACAGAATGCCCAAGTAACCCACCCATCCAACAATACTCCTCTGACAATGGAAAAGATAGGCCCTGCTGTATACTAATAGGGTCAATGGAATATAACGCGGAGCGAAGGTGAGAGGTGTGCGTTACCTTCCAGTGTAGCCACACAAGCTGTCATGGAGCCAGAAGCTTTTCTCTTTGGCGGCTGTGGGTTCTATGGTGTCAAGTGGTACTAGGGGTAGCTGTTTAAATCCTCTGTTCAGGTTATGGTTACCTGTCTCTATTAAACTCTCTGGAAAATAGAACGCTGTAGATAAGAGGCCTGAACTAGACCCTTGACCTGCACCTTTGTTCCTGGCAGGTGACAGACCCTGAGAGGAACAGCACTGGAATCCAAACGCTTTAGTCAGAACACACTGTAAAAAAATTCTACCCTCCCTCTAATTTGATCAATTTGCAGAATTTCACTTGGGCCAATTGAAAAATTTAGATGTGACCAGTCACTAGAAAATTTTGAGTTGGGAGGTTAGAAATGTTTAAAGTGCATGTATATTACTGGAATGTTCTGTGTTAAACAAAATAAAATGTCATAGATGCTGTCGAATACCACAGAAAATTATTTCAACACACAGTTATCAGAGTGTACATTAACAACAATAATAATTACTTTAACTAATATTGTAATGTATGGCACTGGTGCATAGAAGATCACTCTTGATGTTGTACTTAATATAAATAAAAACTTAAACATAGTAAGTTAACATAAATTAAAATGTAACACGTTAATTATAAACAAGTTAACAATTCCAAAAAGCACCCATTTTTTGCCCAGATGCACCTAATTAGCTATTTTGGCCGTTTATGGGAACTGATGGCACAGAAGCTATCAAAAATACTAACATGAATATTTATATTAAACATGAAACATTAAAGGGCTTGTTCACCCAAAAATGATTTAAATCAATTTAATTCAAATTCAAATTCATTTAATTCAAATCATTTACTCACCCTCATGTTGTTCCAAACCCGTAAGACTTTCATTAATCTTCAAAACACAAATGAACATTTTGGTAACACTTTAGAATACGGTTCCTTCATTAATGAATAACTACACAGGAACAAATGAGTAACACACTATTATCATTCTAACTACTATTAACTAACAAGAAACTCTGATTAACAAATTAGTAAGTTATAGCACTCAGTTGAATGTGGTAGTTCACTATTAGCTAATCAGTAACTACTATTTTTCATAACTCCCAGTGAACTACTATATACAGGTTCATAATTAACATGAATAATGCATATTTAGATCGATATTCTAAAGTGAAAAACATGATAACGACCTAATATTGACTGAAATCATAGTAAGCTTTTAAGATTTTGAATAGTAATTCCTTCCGATGTGTTCCCATGATCTTCACATTAAAATACTGATCCAAATAATCAGTAGTTCCTTTAAAAAGATGTTGTAACATTTGAGTCATTACTATCCAAAACCTTACAAAAACCTATTAGTAGTTCCTTTAGAAGGATGTAGTAACATTTGATTAATTACTAATGGGTTACCATTACCTTATATCATACATTATGCATTATTAATATTAATTATAACCTGTTAATAGTAGTTCTTAGTAGTCTTCAGTGAGTTATGAAAAATAGTAGTTACTGATTAGCTAATAGTGAACTACCACATTCGACTGAGCACTATTACTTACTAATTCGTAAATCAGAGTTTCTTGTTAGTTAATAGTTACTAGAATGTTAATGGTGCGTTACTCATTTGTTTCTGTGTAGTTATTCATTAATGAAGGAACAGTATTCTAAAATGTTACCCATATTTTTAATGAAATCTGAGAGCTTTCCGTCCCTCCATTGACAGCTACGCAACTCGGTGACGCTTAAGAAAGTTCATGAAGACATTGTAAAACTAATCCATATGAATTGAGCGGTTTAGTCCAAATTTACTGAAGAGACTTGATCGCTTTATACGATGAACAGATTTAGGCTTTTATTCACATAAACATTTATCAACTTTGTGTAAACGGAAGCTCAAGCATGTTCGCTTGATGTGCAAGAACCAATGAGGTTCATTCTCGTGTTACGCAGCACGTTTGAGCTTCAGCAAGAACCAATGAGGTTCATTCTCATGTTACGCAGCACGTTTGAGCTTCAGCTAGAACCAATGAGGTTCATTCTCGTGTTACGCAGCACGTTTGAGCTTCAGCTAGAACCAATGAGGTTCATTCTCGTGTTACGCAGCACGTTTGAGCTTCAGCTAGAACCAATGAGGTTCATTCTCGTGTTACGCAGCACGTTTGAGCTTCAGCAAGAACCAATGAGGTTCATTCTCGTGTTACGCAGCACGTTTGAGCTTCAGCAAGAACCAATTAGGTTCATTCTCGTGTTACGCAGCACGTTTGAGCTTCAGCTAGAACCAATGAGGTTCATTCTCGTGTTACGCAGCACGTTTGAGCTTCAGCAAGAACCAATGAGGTTCATTCTCGTGTTACGCAGCACGATAGAGCTTCAGCAAGAACCAATTAGGTTCATTCTCGTGTTACGCAGCACGTTTGAGCTTCAGCTAGAACCAATGAGGTTCATTCTCGTGTTACGCAGCACGTTTGAGCTTCAGCTAGAACCAATGAGGTTCATTCTCGTGTTACGCAGCACGTTTGAGCTTCAGCTAGAACCAATGAGGTTCATTCTCGTGTTACGCAGCACGTTTGAGCTTCAGCAAGAACCAATGAGGTTCATTCTCGTGTTACGCAGCACGTTTGAGCTTCAGCTAGAACCAATGAGGTTCATTCTCGTGTTACGCAGCACGTTTGAGCTTCAGCAAGAACCAATGAGGTTCATTCTCGTGTTACGCAGCACGTTTGAGCTTCAGCAAGAACCAATTAGGTTCATTCTCGTGTTACGCAGCACGATAGAGCTTCAGCAAGAACCAATGAGGTTCATTCTCGTGTTACGCAGCACGATAGAGCTTCAGCAAGAACCAATGAGGTTCATTCTCGTGTTACGCAGCACGTTTGAGCTTCAGCAAGAACCAATGAGGTTCATTCTCGTGTTACGCAGCACGATAGAGCTTCAGCAAGAACCAATGAGGTTCATTCTCGTGTTACGCAGCACGTTTGAGCTTCAGCAAGAACCAATGAGGTTCATTCTCGTGTTACGCAGCACGATAGAGCTTCAGCAAGAACCAATGAGGTTTGTTCTCACGCGTCAAGCATGACTGAGCTTCTGTTTATGTTCGCTGATCAATAAGTGGTAGTTGTGTGGACTGTCAATGGAGGGCCAGAAATCTCTCAGATGTAAGGATATGTGATGTCTGTAACCACATATTTGTTTCTGCTTACAATTTATTAATCTGACAAAGGTTCTTTTTGTTCAGCAATAATAATTCCATATGCAACGCAGCAGTGTATCTACAGGTCTACTGCTGTTTTAAACGCCTGTACTACAATACAGAAGATGTGAATTAAAGTGTGTGTGTGTGTGTTACCACAGGAGGCCATAAGGGAGAAATTACGAAAAAGTGCAGTTCTCAGCTCTAAAGCACACTTGGCAGTAGAAAATATGGACAGTTTGGATGCATTATTTATGTTTGTTGAGGCACATTCAAGGAGTTTAAGGAGAGACTAAAATGCTATCTGTTAGTTGTATATCTTTACAGGATTAGTACATCCAAAAATATATAACTTAAAAAGTGCCATAAAAGTATCACATAAATAGTTGTTCAATTAAGTCAATAAAATCATGACATGTTTTTTGGTGCAAACTTGAATTTGTGAGAAAAGTAGAGCTGATTAATTTGGTAGAAGTGTTGGAATCGTTCACATCTCTGTGGAATTGTTCCTTTGGGTTAAATCTTTTCAATTAACTGGTTGATTTTTTAGCTTCCAAGACAAGTTTGAATGATTTGTTAACACATCAGTCTGATCCGATGACTGTTAAAGTCACTATTAAATTTCAGTCTGTTCCTCATACAAAGCTTCAGAAGATTTGGAATATCGTACTCAAGACTTTCATTATACTTTCATGGTAGTTTTGAAAGCCTCGAAAAGAAGGTCAATTAAAGATTTGATTTAACAAGATGGTGAAAAAAATATGAATCTTAAAAATCTTAATTTTTGAGAATTAATCCTTTAACCTATAATGTGCACGCTTAATTTTGAATGGACTGCAGTTGTGTGTATCATGTTAGCTACGATTTTATACTTTGCTTAAAATAATTGTGCGAAAAACCAAAATCTCTATTTGTTCCTTTTTCATTATCTTGTTGTAGTTTGCAACCTTACCTTCCTTGCAATAACACAACTGATTTGTTCCCTTTGTCTTTATCTGCAGATCAGGTGACAGTATCTTGGGATTCGGCTCTCTACTGCAGAATCCGCTTGACTCTTCCCTGATCTCTTCACACTTTGAGGTGCACAGTGGGCTGGCTGGCCTGTGCTTTTGGCTGCTTGTCTGTCATCTCATCCTGGGTTAGGACCCTGAGCTCAGCCCCAGGGAGGGGAGGGAGGCCATGGAGGTTCCTCTGGTCAACTTTGAGAATCTGGACGACATCGGAATCAACCTGGGAGACCCGAGCGACTCAGGATATCCGACCTCACCCACCTCGGATGTCCCGGAACCAAACCAGGGGACCTGTGGCATAAATTCACCCACACACTCACCTCTAAGAGGAAGACGTCCAAGGCGCTCTCTAGCCTCTCCACCAACACTCAGCAAGAAAGGAACTTCAAGCTGCAACAGTCTGATCTCCAACTGGAAGGTTCTGATGAGCATCGAGGGCAGTCCCAATGAGGCTCTCTTAGGAAAAGTAGCCAAGGATTGTTGCGAGGACTATTTTACAGAAAAGGAGAAACTCGAAGATGGCGAACAAAAAATTGTTATCAACGTCTCAGGGATGATGTACGAGACAACACTTAAAACTTTGAATCAGTTCCCAGATACCTTGTTGGGAGACCCAATAAGAAGAATTGACTACTTTGACCCCATGAAGAACGAATATTTCTTTGATCGCAACCGGCCCAGCTTCGATGGAATCTTGTATTTCTATCAGTCCGGAGGTAAGATTCGGAGGCCAGTGAACGTGCCATTGGATGTGTTTGCGGATGAGATAGTGTTCTATCGACTAGGGCATGAGGTCATGGAACAGTTCAGGGAAGATGAAGGTTTCACCAAAGACCCTGAGCCTCAACTTCCAACCAGTGAGATTCACCGTCAGTTTTGGCTGCTCTTTGAGTACCCAGAGAGCTCCAGCGCTGCCAGGTCAGTAGCCTTAGTGTCTGTTTTTGTCATCACTATATCTATTTGTATCTTCTGCCTGGAGACGCTCCCGGAATTCCGTGATGAACGTGAATTTATACCTGCGTTCGTCAACTTAACCCGTGACGCCAACGGCACGCTCCTGTCCCCTACTCCTAATCCTAAGGCCATGGCCTCTGTCTTTACTGACCCCTTCTTTGTGGTGGAGAGCATCTGTATCGTTTGGTTCTGTTTTGAGCTTGGAGTACGTTTTGTGGTGTGCCCCAGCAAAAAGGAATTTTTCAGTAATATCATGAACTTCATTGACATTGTGTCCATTTTACCCTACTTCATTACCGTCATAACAGAACTGATGGCCACCCATGATGGAGAAGACCCCACCGCCGGCCAGAACATGTCTCTGGCCACGCTACGTGTCATCCGATTAGTGCGCGTCTTCAGGATCTTCAAGCTGTCCCGCCATTCCAAGGGCCTGCAGATTCTAGGCCAAACCCTAAAGGCCAGCTTGAGGGAGCTGGGCTTGCTTATTTTCTTCCTCTTCATTGGCGTCATCCTCTTCTCCAGTGCCATTTACTTTGCTGAGGTTGACGAACCCGATACTCAGTTTGTGAGCATCCCGGAAGGATTCTGGTGGGCTGTAGTCACCATGACGACGGTCGGCTACGGTGACATGTGCCCTATCACATTGGGGGGGAAGATGGTTGGGATCCTCTGTGCCATTGCTGGTGTGCTGACCATTGCACTTCCCGTTCCCGTCATCGTCTCCAACTTCAACTACTTCTACCATCGTGAAACGGAGCAGGCGGACAAAATCGTGATTGACGCTGCTGCTGAGGCTGCTGCAAATCAGAAAACCAGCGCTGAGGAGAAGTATGAAAGCAATTACTCGCTGGACAAGAGCAATGGGAATTGGCAGACGGGAAAAAATGGCATTCCATAAGGATTGGTATATTTCACATGACTAGCAATAATGACTACAACAATGCACTTAGAAACTCTCCGTTTTATGGTTTGACAACTGCTTATTTAAGAGCTCTACATATATACCTAATGCTATGCATATACCAACAGTACCTTTGCAGAATGTGCTGTTTCAATGGGAGAACTCGAACAGGATGCTGTTTTAGCCAAAGGCTGCTAAAACACAGCTGGATGACTATAAAACCTCAGTAGCACTATCTACAAAAAGGAAGCAAAAAATATTGTAAGGAACATCCCTTTAAGGCTTTACAGTAATACAAACTGAAATGCACTGAACTGGAAAAGGAATATGAATCACAGAAGACAAAAAAGTACTCGTCATCATTTGTGAGGCAAACGGCTGCATTTGACTGGGGTCAAAACAAGCATTTAATTAATCGCGATTAAGTGCCTGTGTTGCCGAGTCCCTCAAATTAAAGCCGAGGAATCATGAATCTGCACTCTGAGCATCCACCCAGCACCACCTTTTGCTGATGTTGTCGTTCCTTTGGAGTTTTGCACTGACATCACCTTTTGTCCCTGCTGCTTGTGAGAGAAAAGCGTATGCCAAACTGTTATCCATCTTTCAATGTCATCAAATGTCTCCTCTAACAGCCCTGGTAGTTGTCAAAACATAATCAGGCCTGTTTTAAATTTAAATACAGTATCTTACGCATGCAAGTATGTTATATTTGGATGACCCACCGTACTGTGGCAGCATCTGCTTGCTGCTCGTCCCACATTTCTTCTGGTGTTTCTATTTTTGTCAGCATACACATAGAACGAGACACTAGTACTCTATCTTTAGGGTGAGATGGTTTTTTTATTCTTTCTATGCTGACTTAGTTAAAGTTTTTGTACACACCTTTACTTGGTAATTTCAGACAATTTCACATCATATCTTGTCTCATGTTTGACCGAATGTATATGACAACAGTGATGATAACCAGTAGGATAAACAGCACTTATTTCTTTAACTAAAGGCTTCATTAGCCTACTATCAGCCTTACTTGTTATGCACATCGATATGTATGGCTGAAAAACGCACAAGAATTTAAGCATGAATTTATATGGGTTAGCCACTCAAAACAATACTTGTCGGTCAAACAGAGTACACATAAAAGAAGCTTTAATTTAGGGTGGTTCTGATGATGGAGGCAACAAGTGTTATTTAAGAATGGATTTCCATGCATCACACTAATTTAAGCTGACTTGACAAGCCATTAAGGCAGAGAGCATGATCGCACACTGCATGTACTGTATAGTAAAACGAAACCAATGAACGACCAGCCACTACTGAAAGATGGAAAAGATTGACGTGAATATATCATCCAGCCTAAAGACTTACTTGTAAATGTGTGCAACATCAGGACTTACACAACGTAACAGGTTTATCTAATGAACAGAACAAGAATCATTATTTTACAAGCATATTAGTAACATTCATAGCAAAGTGAAAACAATTACACAAAGTTTTTGTCATGCAATCAAGCATATGTCTGTCTTTACTCATGATTGCAATAGATTTTCACTTATGAGATATTATTGTCTTTCATAATAGTTCAATTTCTGTCTTTGGAGTAGGAGTAAGATCTGTTACGCTCATCACGACAACAGTTTTAATTTTTTTAGTGATTAAACTATGCCCATAGAAATCTGTGCTCCATAACTTGAAGTTTCTTTATTGCAGGAGAGAGAATATTTCCTGCTTTATTCACATAAAACATATTGCACATTTGCATGTTTTTGTAAAAAGCAAAAATACAGAGGACAAATATTTGTTTCCAAAGCATATTTTGATTGTAGCATTTCAGCACTGACTAAAGCAAAGCAATACAGCACTTTTCAGGGAAGCTTGAAAATTAAACTTATGCCAGCAGTTAACATTGCATTTTTGAGGCACTTAACGTATAATTGCAATATAGAAGTTGAAATGCTTTTTATCATGCTGTTGTAGATTGTAAAAGATGCATGGAAACACTGAGATCTATGAATTTGATAACATGATCATGCTTTGACTAGAGGTAGAAATATGACATTTAAGTCAACCCTCCATTGTGTCAATGGAAAAATCGTAAGTATATTCCCTTAGGCATGCATTTTATGTCATAGTATGGCAAAATATTAATAGCAATATTGAAAGTCATTGTTCAATAAATCCTGAGAGTTCTATTTTGATTTTATACAATTATCCCACCGACGAAGGTGATAATGCCAGTGTTATGTGATCATTATGGCATTTAGCATCTCTTGAATGTATGCTATGGCTGTATGATATATTTTGACTGTTTAAGCACTATATTTTATTCATGATATTCTGAGTGCCTTTTATTAAATATATATTAAATTTAATGGCTCCATCTTTGTGTGATTTAACAAGGATTCTCATTCTATGAATATGTGTCGTCCCAACACAAAATCAAATATTTTTATCATACAAAACTAAACAAAAAGTAACATTAAAGAGTGAAACATTGGTGCCCTCATCTACACATGCACCACTTTAGTAAAGCAAAACAAAAATTATTGATAAAATCTGGATTACCGTCGGCACACTGAATAAAGTTTCATACTAAAAAGCTGACAACATTCTCCCGTTTTTTTATTCATCAGCACTTTTTTCACTTTTAAGAACAACAAAATGTGAACATTGAAACTAAAAATGTTCTTATCTGTGTTTTTGAAGTATTATTCATAGACCAGAAGATCAACTCCAAGCATTTGAGAGTTCATAAGGTTTTTATTGGAGAGGTTAAAAAGGTTTGTCCAGTTCACTCACACAGAGTGACCATGATTTGTTGGCATGACCTGTGGAGTTTTTTGGGGACGGAGACTAAACAGTGCAAGATCCCACAATGAGAGCACATTAATCTTTAAGGGCATTTTGTTTGTGTATGTGCCCATTAATGTTTCAAAGCTCACCGTCTATGCAGACGTAATGGGCATTTCCATTTATTTGGCTGCTCTAAATTACCAACTTCCAATCATTATAAAATCAAAATGTTGATTTAGTTTAATGTTCACTAGATGCATATTTGCCCATCAAGCTACAGTATTTCCCCTAACAGGTATTTTTTCTTATGATTTCTCCTGCGTATATGGACAAAGCATTTTCTTGTTTTATAAGAAAACAAAGTTGAAAGAATACAAAGCATGTTTGCATGCATGATCTTACATGATTATTGCCATGTAAACACCCTAAATGGCATTATTTTATTGCAGAAAAGTCATAATTTAAGCCAAATCCAAACGACACCCCTAGATTTTTAACCTGATACCAATTTTGCTTTGCATGTAAATGCCTTATATTTATCCATTTATTCAGTTGAGCTGTGAATCAACTGAAGTTGAAGTGAGGTCAAAATGTTTACACATTTATAAAAAAAAAAAAAAAAAACGTTTTAATATTTTAAAGCAACCTCTAAATGATTATAAATTCACTATTTTAATTATTGAATCAGATTTATTTTTTCTGTTTGCTTCATAGTGGTTATTTCAAGACATGATTGATTTCAGTAATTTGACAGGGAGTCATAGAAGCACTCTTGTCTGGAGGTAAGAGTCCAGTTGAGACACTAAAATATTGAGCAGTGAGACAGCAAAGTAACCAAATACCAAACTATGTATATAGTATGTAAGAGAATGCTGGTAATGTTTTGTGGTTATGTAAGACGAATCCTAGGTATTATATAACCGTCATCTGAGCGGTGTCATTTTTGAAGTATGATATTGCAATATTTGTTTAAAATTATAGTTCCCTCTGTGTTTTTAGAGATAAGCAAACAGATAGTCTCCAAGCAAAGCAATTAAAACGTTTGTAAGTATCGTTTAATACTTGTTAAAGTTCACCCACGATTGAAAATTCTGTCATCATTTACTCGCACTCATGTTGTTCTGAACCTGTATGAGTTTGTTTCTTCTGTTGAACACAAAAATAAGATATTTTGAAGAGTATTTTAACCACTAACCAGACAGTTGACGGTAACCATTGACTTCCAAATTAGGAAAATAATACTATGGAAGTCAGTGGCTCAACTGTCTGGTTACCAACATTCTTTAAACTATCTTTTGTGTTCAACATAAGAAAGAAACATACAGGTTCAGAACAACATGAGGGTGAGTAAATGATGACAGAATTTTCATTTTTGGGGCGAACTATCCATTTAATTTCAGCAAACAGTATATGCAAATTGTCAAAATACAAAAACAAAATGAAATACTTAAGAAACGCATCCTCATTGGCTTGCTCACTAGGGGTTGTACTTTTTTTTTTTCTTTGGAATGATATGCATTTCCATTTATATAAATAATAATATATTTTAAATATTCAATAACAACACTTAAAATATATGAAAATCTCCTCAGCAGTCACACCGGTCACACCACAGGCCAGACTAGGTGCCTTAAACGATGTGTCCTTAATTTTATCTGCTTTTATCTCAAAAACCCGACACTAGACTGATAACCCCTGATAGGACCAATTAGGAGATTGAGGAAAGAAAAATCACACAAAGGCTGCAATCGCCTTAATACCCTGGAGATACCCTCAGTCTCATATATACTTAACTGGTCAGGTGCAAGGTAGGGTCAAGCAGTGTATGGAGAGAGACGTGGTTATAAACAATTAATGGCCAGCCATTTTGTTCTAGTCTTGCACTGTTAAGACCGTTCAGGTCTCTCTAGCTCTGTGGCTGGAGCAAGTTACTATAGCAAGTTAAGGCTGGGTAAGACTGATTACATCTACAACAGGCAGAAAGTGAAAGAAACTGACCCCTATAACCCGAGCGTGGTTCAATTTGTACTTTCACGCAATCCTGATTACTGCGGTAACTTTAGTATGCAGTCCAGACGATATTTGTGGTTGTGCCCTGCAATGCCAAAAGTCATGGGTTCAATTTTCCAGGGATAATATGTCTATTTTGAACGCACTTTATGGATAAAACTGCATTGCAAGTGCCAAAAATATAAAAGTCTGCAGTAACATTAACTTAATCTGATTCATGAATTTGGCATTTCTATCCAAATGCCAACTTAAATTCCTCTAAATGAATACATTTTAATAATGCATTTATTTAGAATTAACAAGAATTGATTGAGTCGTTGGAAGTTGGGCATTGCTAACTACATGAAGGCAGATCTGAATGGCAGTTTTCAGCCAGTTTGGCCCCACTTTCAATGAGAGCGAAACATGCAGATCTCAACTTCATGCAAATGAGCAGTAAAATAATGTGGCCAACTAACAACGAGACTCCAAACAGTTACCCGCCGGACACCACATTCAGCACACCACTGAATGTGTTGTGCACATTAGTGTAACCACTAATTCTTCTAAAGTAACCCTATCCAACGATGACAAAAGGGGAAAAAAATGTTGATATCAGTAAGGAGGACAACAGTTTCAGCTCAATGGTAATATACAGGCAGAGGAGGAGGCATTGCCAGCACATTACTGATCAGTGATCACCCAGTCATTTGCATAATGACTTTCATGTTCAATGAGTAACCACACTAAACAACTCACTCACTCAGATATCAATACTTTCACGTCTGATTCATAATCAAGCTCATAATCCAAATTGCTCGACAAAAAGAGTCATCATGAAACCTACAACGTTTACAGAAGATCATGATAGCCTATCAATTAGTATATAAACTAAAAAAGGTTACACAAAACGTTTGATATTATTGTTACTTTAATATTATTATATTATATTATAAAAGAAAAGAAAAGAAACAAAAAGAGACTTTGTATTCTGATATCAGCTCTTAGTGAGGGGAAAAAAACGCAAAATGATTAACAAGAAAGCATGTCTTTCTATTGAGCTATCCTTCCAGACTGCACACAAAAACTACTCGGTTACTAACGTAACCTCGGTTCCCTGAGAGGAGGTAGCTTACGCTGTGGGAA